GAATCGAGATATTGCTATGAAGAATCGACTTGTAAATTCCGAGAGGCCGTCAGGGTGTCCAGGACTCAGGAGACTCGAAAAAGTTAAATCCCTCGGAGGTCGAAAATTTCAAACCGAATTCAAAAGACGCGGTCCGCCTTTTTTTACATACGTGAGTACGCCTCTTCCCCGACGCCCTTCCCTATCCCTTCTAAACATCTGGTAGCCAGGCAAGGCCAACTCACGGTCGTCCACGTGTTGGGTCAACCAGGTTTCTGTTAAAGAGATTACGTCACGATGTCTTTATATTTTTTTGCGCAGCACCTCAATGTCTCTTATTTTTGCGGATTCTCCCATTTATTGTGCTCCCTATCTCTTGGCTTTTACTGACTATCCAATTGCCTAGTGTCTCCGCTCAACAAATTCATTCTATCATTGTCGTCTTGCCAGAATTCTGGCAAAATGTGGCCAAACTTTTCATCCGCACCAAGTCTATGTTTTATTTAGAGAACGCCACTAAAGATCTGATGAGATACGAAAAACTGTGGATGTTCTTATTCCTAATATTATTCCCCAAGTCCAATCCTTTCTATCTGACTCCCCAAAGCTGATCATTATGCCAGTCTGGAGGCGGAGATCCTTCGCTTTAAGGCCATGTCTGATAGTCAGACTCATTCGGTGGTTGGCATTCTCTACTAAGGGATATAAGTTTTGACGAAAATATCATCATACAGTTGTCTTGCGCAACTCCTACATAGGAAATTTCAGACAGAGCTTGCATCCGACTCAGACAACTCACAGTTTCTATGTTCACAGAGACGGCTAACTAGATCAGTTAAGCCAGGAAATTGTGTATAACGATTCGATATCTGCAAGTCGTTCTTCAGATCCTGCGGCACGGACTTACCGGAAATACTTAATTCGCTCTCAACTGTTCACGATGAACCACAGTCAGTCAAGCCCGAAAAACGCTGTACGCTACCAAAATCAGGCGAGAATGAGATAAATGATGAAAGTGTGGCATACTTTAGTGGATGTCTAGAACTCATAATCGGATTTGTAAGGTTGGTGGAAAGCCGAGACCTCCCCATAGAAATAATAGCACTGTTGATCTAAATAGCAAACGTTACCAGAACGTTACCTTCAGAACGCAGGCTAGGGAAGGGCAGCAGTCAAAATACCTGCTATGTAAATATCTGCATGTTTTTTTTTCATGCATTCATCTGTAAATAGGGTTTTCCAAGGCTCTGCCTTTATCCCTCATATATACTGAAGTATACCTTAATTAAGCGAGCCAACGTCGACCAGAGGTCTGATAATTTGAGTGGGTGACTGGCTCATTGCCACTTCAGTTCCGTTTATTGAGGGAAATAGGCTTAAGCCTTTGAGTACCCTATTTGCAAGTAAAAATTTGCGTTATACAGAAGAATGTCCTGGACTGAAATAGTTTAAACGAGCCAATAATGGTAGGACAAAATGGGAAGGAGTTACGGGGGTGAGTTCAACTTCTTATCGCTCTTGGTCATTTCGGACCATAAATATGTCTAGCTTCATCTTAAAACTGTGTATAGATGGTGACATCACAACATCTGCGGGAAGGGAATTCAAAGGTTTGACCACTCGAACAGAGAAAGAGAACTTTAGCACATCCAACCTTGCCTGCTGAGTGCACAGATTTAACGGGTGAACTAGGAGGTTGGTCGTGGTAGCAAATTAAAAAAGTCCTCGAAGGCCAGACAGCAATCCAACTCCTTTACAATGCTGAATGCTTGCAAGAGATCCCCGCGAAGTTGCCTGTAACTCAAGGGAAGAGCTTCAGATTTACTAGGCGGGTGAAGAGTAGCGCTCGTATTGGATGAAAAGGTGGGGGCAGAGTGAATACCAAACGAGGGCCGGCTAAAATAATCTAATCAATAAGAAGGAGTGTGTAGATGAGTCGGAATGGAAATAGTTATGCATAGAAATGAAGCAGATGGGGCTATGAGCAATACAAGGTCACCAATGTAAGTAATAGATCGGTCTATAGCGAGTAGAATCAGAAATAACAAAGTAGCCGCAAAAATGCAGCGTAACGATGAATTGCTATTGAAAGTTGTAAAAAGTTGCATGCGTACTAAATGAAAACGCCTTTTATGCCACTATGACTGGATGCCTTGGTTGCTGCTGCCTTATACGTATACACACGAGAACGACCAATGAGCAAATTTTTGGTCCAGTTAACAAATTAGTCTCAAATGCCCATGACTTTGAAGATATACAACAGTCGCTTGCAAAAGGTACTATGTAGGCTTCCCTACAGACATTGCAGGCGGTCTGCTCACTGAGGCCCTCTTTGAGATGCTTTGGCATCTGGTAAAACTAATTTGTTACACACGACGGACAGCACCCAAAGCGGCGCTATAATAAACCTACTCCATTCCATTCTATTCTGTGTGAGAACAGAATTGGGAACTTGGCAAGCGATTGTTATTTTTAGAATAAACCATAAATTCAATTTCGTTGGTTTCATCTATCGTTTTACAATAGGCGTGCGCCTACGTGAGGAACGTGTAAATGGCTAAAAGAGCATGACCACCACCTCTGTAATTGGTCGAAAATCGTCCAGTTTTCAAATCCGTGTAAAGAATTCCATTATCAAACGATTGTTTGAGCAAAATGTGTTGGCTAATTTTCGGGCACTTTTCAGAAGCAGTTTCACTGAAATCACATCCGAAAAAGAAGATTTACGTTCACTTAATTTTATGCGTCCTTTAATTGTAACTCATATCAGAAACAGAACGTTTCCATCAGTTGAAGTTCCATGTTTAGAGTTTGGCATTCCCACTTAGGAACCCACAGTATGGAACTATGGATAGTATTATGGCGAGTGTCATATACGAAAGGACAAATCCCTCGGGAGGTCAAAAGCATATTCTACCTAGTACGAATTCCTATGAAAATACCCAAGCACAGTCGGTTGTTTGTGCAGAACTATAGGCCAACACTATTCCTTTTCAAGCCGGTGTTCATTTGGCAGGGATAATAACTTATGTAGGCATAACAATAAAGCCATCATTATCATATCCGAAATGTCACATGCTGATGGGTGAAAATGTACATCTGATTAAAACACTACTGATGGTGCCTATTAGGGCTACTAGGTTTTAACTGCTATAGTCGCACGATTTTCTCTTTTCTCTCCTTTGTATTACTTATTTCTGCGTAAATTTTGTTTGTTTGTTCTTAATTTTGGTTTTGTTTTTTTACCTGCTATTTGCTTCACACATTGGTCCTTTGGTTGCGGCCGTCTGTACTGGTCTTTGTGGCGAGTGATTGCTCGGATGACCTGGCTGTCACGCTCATCGCCTACTATAGTCACAGCAAAGACAATGATGTGGGACTGACTACTTAAAAACTCGATCATTTCTGCTTGATTTAACCTATCCGTGTCGATTCTCTCCGACACTACAAATACGAGGAAGCAGTGCATTTCACAATGACGGAAGATACCAGGGTAGTTTTAGGCTTTTATTTAAAGTCATTTCTAAAGACATCCGAAGTCTTTAGTCTGTTTACGATAAACGCCCCAATTTTGGGTGTTGAGGATGATATCAACGACTTTCTCAATGAATTTGTCAAAGGTGGAAGTCCCCGCTTCGCAAACTTTGTAGCACTCTGGCAAAAGCGGCAGTTTATCCATTTAATTTACGGAAGGCAAACGCAGTTTGGTCTTGCGGATGTTCTCTGTTGCTTATTTTTTCATCTCGTCAACCACATTGCTGCCAGAAGCACGCCACAGTTATCTAAAGTCTGCGCGCTCTATTTACTGTATGCTTTCTTTGGAAAACAGCCAATTAAAAAACAAGTAAGCGCCACAAAGCACTTTTATGTATACTGTCATTAAATCTTTCATGCATTTGTGTGTGGGGTTCTCATCGACAGCTGTCGTCGGCGCTTTGTCATCGCGTAAACGCCCTAGCATTAGGCCATGAACTGGCGCCCGTCGGCTGCGATTGAGAAATGTCCAAGCCACAATATGGTGCCGTCCACTGATAACTGATAACTACAGGATGAACTGTAGTAATTCTGATAATTAGTTTGTTCCCGAGTTTTACTGTATGCGCCGCGAGTTTTAACAATGCAAGCCTGTTTACAGTCGTTTTTAATATTGAGCGATGTCATAGATTTCGAAGGTGAAGGATTCTGAGTCTAGGCGACCGAGTCCTAGGTTGCAGACTCCAGGGCAATAGGGTATCTTTCATCAAGGATCTGTGGGAGTGTTGCGTCCAGACTAACTACGAAAGTGCCTATGCAAAACAGAATTAACGCGATATAGGCGGCGCAATATGCAAAGCAAAATGCGAAAAATCACGTCGGTTCAGAAGAAGACTGGGGTTATCAGGGGGCTGTATCGGTTGGGGGAACATGTAAGGACCACAAAAACCAACGCAGCACATAGGCATCATATCAACTAAGCAACAACCTGAGGGTTCGACGGAGATATGAGTAATAAGTAAAGCCTGCTAATGTGATTTAGACCGGCCGGAAATTTGATGTAGTCAGATATATCACAATGTTTTTCTGTACGTCGCGGACACCAATATGCATGAAAGTATTTAAAGCTGGAGGGCAACATGTTACTGCTCAGAAACATCTGAAGACGCCTATGGACCGAGTATTGATCGACGGGCCCACTTTTCTCCAGCCTGTCGTGGCCGCAACATGGGACCAAGACGTTTCTTGTAAGTACAGTGACTATCGTCTTCTGCGACTCCGTCTACCGGGTACGACCTATATGTGTAGTCCGATCTTTTCCTGATTTTCGGCGCGACTGATGTGCAAATCTGTTTATGCGCTCGTCTTATATTTGCTGTTTTAGTGTTCTTGCACACTCTTTGGGCTCATAATATCCTCGTTCTTCCCAATGCTACCAAGAAGCGTAAAGAAGTGTCTGCCACTATCTTGAGTGAATTTTGATGCAATTGGCACTATTTATAGAAGGAAGTTCAGTGCGAAGACTGACGATACACTGATATTTTCTCTCAGTACTTTGTGCTGGCATGTCGCTTTGACGCGCGTAGGGTGCAAGCAAAAAGCTATTTAAGTTGATATGAGCAAGGACACGGAGTACCTTCCACGCCGTAAAATTAGGACAAAGGACCATCAGGTAAGACTAAACATGAACAATAGATAATTAGTATGTTGACATGGTGCGCGTTCTTATCTAATGATAACGTTTTCACTATTTATGGCGATAAACTTACATGATTACCTAATCCCTGACTTCTTCTTTCTATGAAAACATCCACAATTTCGGGATTTGCCGCTAAGCTCATCATTGTTAAGTTGCTATATTTTAATGAAGCCAGATTATTGGTAGTTGTGAGCAGAGAATATCACTAAATCTTTCCCTACGATCGACCAATTCCATGTTTTCGAAAGGCGCAACAACTTTTCTCTGGTTTAGTGTCGCGGTCCGTGAATTTCATATGCTGCGACACTAATTCACATTATCTGAATACTCAAAAAGAGTGACTCAAGTAGCATCTTTCGTGCGCGCGCACTCACTATTTCCTCTCTTCATGAAAAAGGCACGAATATCGGTGACACCTGAAACTTGGTCAGCCGTCGTACATTTGGCTTCTGGTTTGCTGCGAGATCGTCAGTGGGATGCCTACTACATATTCCGGAAGCTGTGCGCGTGGAGTGCCTTCAAATTCTGTGCACAGTCTGAGGAGCTTTATCCTGGAGCTCCTTTGTACACCCGTTCAGACACGGTGCTTCCTATATTTCGTTCATTTCTGACCAGCGCTGACCGTCGTCGTTTGGCGAAGAATCGTGAGAAACCTACCTTCACAGTCGCGAATCTGGCTCCAAACCACCTGCATGATATGCCCGAGAAATTGAAGCAAAATTTGGCTGGGCTGGACCTAGCCATCAGCGAGTACGTTGAAGCGAAGAAAAAGATTTACAAAACGCTCTGCCCGGAGACGGAAGAAGAAGGGCCGTCGACAAGCACTGAAATTCCATCATCGGGTTTTGCCGACGAAGGCCTCCTTTTTGGACTAAATTTAGTCACTTACCCGGTAAGTTAACCCTTTGTTTCGACTGGGGAGCCTAAAGTCTTTCCACCAAAGTTTTCACCTTTATCAACACCAAACTTGCCATATAGAAACTGACCGAAACCACCCGTGGCTTTGCGCGTGCCGATTTATAGACTTGATAAGACTACTTAAGCCTGGGTCGCGGGAGGTAGGCTGGTGTTTATTCGGTGGAGAATTGAACTACCAAAACAGCAAAGGGAGCGTTATTTGTTACCATAATAACGTTATTGTGCTTTACGTCTGTCATTGTCCCCTGCGCTTTGTACATCAATGCAAATTCGGTTTTATGGGACTCCTGTACACCAATAACATAGGCAGAATTTTCCCACTGGGAAACATGGCATTTAGCACAACGAAGGAGATGGGATTGATCATTATCAGTCTACTCCCAAGGCCGGGCAAGGTAAACGAGCCCAAACTGCTTTCGACCCTTCAGTTCTTTCTGTATTGTCATGCACTCCGACATAAAAGGACCAGGATCGAGAATTCTGCACTGTCGTCCGTCTTAAAGCTGACATACAGTAGGCACTTTATACGCCCTGTTTTGTATTTTGGACAACTAATCTAGAATTGGTTGGACCAACTGGTCTGCCAATTTTGCAGATGCTCGATGAATCTGAATAAGCAACTGTAGGTAGAACCCCTAAGTATATTCAGAAGCGGCTTGCGTGGGCGAAACTGTGTTGACTGTTTTGACAGCTCCGACTTATGAAACTCAACAGTGTAGTGTCACCGGTGGTGTACATTCGTTAGATTAGCACCCAGTGTCTTGGCTTCGTTACTTTGGGCACTTAACTGTCCTTACTCTTCCCGGGTTTCTTCGACGCCTGTATTAACCACGTAGAAACCTTAGACTTGGACTCCTTAAATAATATCTCTCAGTATTTTACCAGAAGATTCTTGCGCTTTCTGAGGTGTTTATTTTAAGACAGGCACGTGTCTGATCTGGGAGGGAACTAAAAAACTTATTTTTTGGTCTTACTATAAGGGAATTTTCACAATAACTACCTTGCCACTTCCCGGTACATAGTCCTTCGACCCAACTTTTGTTTGTCCTTTTAATTACGTTGCCCTTGATACTGCTTCATTCAGCTTACAAGCTACAAGTTGAGGTAGGCTCATATTCTGCCATCGGAGCACAATTACCCTTCTGGTGGATGAAACGTCGACTACAACCATCTTCACACCGACGCCCTAAACTACGAAAAACCAAAGGGGCTAGTTACTGATACAGATTAAGAAAAGCCTGGATGTGTCGTTGGTAAAGTAGAGTACTGGCGTCTCTCGGGTTGGCACTAAACAGTAACCTTGCATGATCGAAAGATTTCGCTGCGTCACATAGAAATTCGCGTTCCTCCTTTCTTGCTCCTTTCTTCGTCTTCCTGATAAGCCCATTTCCCAATGTCACTTTTCACAGAAGATAATAAGGCTACCTAAGTTACAGAGTTTGAAATCTAGGCTCGCAAATGATTGCAGTGGTTAAGATTTGATAAAATCTCTTCTTATTCTTACAGGACTCTGTAAAGAAACTCAATCGCATGGCGGAAAACTTTGCCCTAAGGACGCAGAGCGATGACGCGGATAAGCTAAGTAACGTAAAGAAAATAAACACAGGGGGCGATGGACACAGCTGTGACCAGGCAGGACAACAGGCGGAAGTAAGTACGAAGGAAGAAGAAGAAGACATTGGCAAGCGGAGGAAAAGACTTCGTGAGGCTAAACCCCAGAAATCCAGGCGGAGGTCACACCCCATAAACTCAGATCCCCCCATTGACACCACCTTGTAAAAAATTGGTGCAAATGACTACTCCACCCTATTTTTGTATTCCACCCGTCTACCAAACTCGCCACTAACGAGTAAACTATCCTTGTGCATTTATTCAATAAACAGTCGAATTTGTTTTGGTTCTTCCGTATACACATGCGCACTTTCTCGTGTTTCACCGTCTCTGCGTTTCCCACGTCCCGCGTTGAATTGTTTTCTCTGCTTTGCACCAAATTTTGGACGCACACTGTGTAGTTTAGTCCCAAGTTTTGATGTATGTGCCCTCCCTGCGTCGGGCTGTCAGCTTTCGTCGCCAAATACAGCTCTCATCATGAAGCGGTAGTGTTTCTGTCACTCGCTAATTTTCATGGCGATTATCACCGCCTCAGCTAGTTACTAATGCAACAGGAAGGCGGAATAGATGGCACGACGCAGCGCAGTGGTAATGAGAACTAGTCACAATCAGTGGCACCATTACGAAAGTGACGAGTTCCGCTGCACGAAGTCGTATGTTCAAACCAGCTTGAAATTGCCATGTTCTGTTTGTAAGCCCCTGAAGCCACGCAGGCCATAACGAGGGGGACGACAAAGAAAACTCTTTTGACCTGCCAAAGACAGGTACGTTTTCTCTCTGGTCTTGGGTTCAATAACTATTTGCGGTGCGGGGAATTTCGCAACTTTATGCTTTTGATCGCTGGCAGGTACGTTTGCAATTGCTCCGCGAAATGTTGCAACTGTCAATTGAAACTCTTCACGCAGTTGTCCTTTTACGCACCGAGTTACGTTCTTGTCGTGGAATTCCTAACTAAAGACGTTCATGTCAATTTTTAATTTGACATTCTGTACAACCGGCTCTCTGAAAGTCTGACCATCACGACGAACTGGCCAACTGACCTCGTCTGCCGGTCGAAACAAAATATGGCAGTCGTTGGGTATGTGCAACGCATGCAGGACTATCCTCCCCAGGGACCGCGATGTTAGACTGTAAAGGTGACAGTATCTGACGTCCTGCGATGCGCCGCTACGGAGATTGCTCCAGTGCACAATTTAGGCTATCGTACATCGACCATCAAAAACACGTTTTGATCCTCGCTAGCCGAATCTTTTGCCCTGCTAGCGAGAACACGTTGGAGCAGAGTGCCCCTTCGGGGCCTTTATCTCTGACTCAAAGACCTTGATCACAAGAATACATAGCGAAGGTTTAGTCTTCGGCTGTCCAGCCGCGCCTTACAAGTCGAACTACGTTTTGTTGGAGGCCCCCCTCCGCAGTTGACAGAAACACAGCAGAGCGGGATTGAAGTGGTCAAATTGACCGACTGTCAGCTCGTCTTATCCAGTCTCCCGTTTATGACCACTTGTGTGACCAGTCTTTACTTGAGCTGAGGACCTCAGAGCGCTCTTTTCTCGTCTTCAAAAAATCACAAAAAACATGTGCCAGGGCAACCTAAATCCCTGTTCAGTGCTTTCACGCGCACCCTTAACGCGCATAACGGCCGTATGTACTTTTACTTGGTGCGGCTGTGGTCATGCCCGGCTAAGCCGGCCTTAATGATGTGACGTTCTGTACCTTTCCTTGCGTGACGATCTGCGGCAGCGGATCTGAGCAGTTCGACCCATTCTCCTCTCTAAAGGCGGAGACTGGATGCCGAGAGTCCAGAAACCACTTTAGTGTCCTGACGAGCCTTGTCGGGCTAGCTCTTGAGTTGATCTCCTCTTCGAAGCCTCTAAGTGGGCAACGGTTCTGCGTCCTTAAAGCAAAGTTTTCCAAGCTCATGAGGCTGACGACGGAAAACGTGCTCAAGCCATCTCAATCGTCTTTCTTGGATGGTCTGGGTTATCTTTGTCAGGTTGTCGCAGCGAGTGAGGTAACGACTTAATTCACTCGTGGCACCACAGACTTTAGATCACCAAAGCCTTAGCTGCATGCTGTCATACTTTGAATAGCAAGGTACAGAAACGTTAGTTCATTCCAGCGTTCAATATAAAGAGTTCGTTCGGGGTCGAGTAGTCCAGCGCGCATACTATTCGCTTACGCCACTGGACCAGGGTTGCGGAGCGCGTCGGTCGCTTCGGACGCTGTAGTGTGGGTCGTACTATTGTATTCGGGCATATTTTCATGAGTTTTTTTGGAGATTTTGAGTGCAGGCGGATCCCCAACAGCCGCTCGGATTATTTGTTTGAGGTTATCTTTAATTCAAGAACCTAACTACAAGGCAGCGATGGAAAGCAAACCTACTTAATGTCGGTCCACGGTCACAGTGCCGTCATTGGGTTTTGTGTCACCTTGTAGGGCTAGTGGCGTGCCAGACCTCAACCCTTCGTGCCTTTGTAGGACTGTTACTTCTTTTTCGGACTGTTTATTCGCCATGGTTGTAGTGAGATTCTTAAACAAGTGAGACCATTGTTCTTTTTATTACATGCCGGGTTGTTTGGTTGGGGGACAATATCGGTCTTTCGATTGGACACCGGCTTTGAAAGACCGGAAAGACGCCTCTTTGCTAGATGTTTTGCTCATGCACACTCTTTGGAAAAACTACCATTTCGTACAACCTCAGAAGTATCATATAATGGGTCGGTGGATTTCTTTAACTGCAGGAAAAATACTGTTCAGTCGACTTCCAAACAAGAGCCCTGGTTTTGCTTTCTTGGTCGAACAGTTCGGTTCCTTAGAGACGCTCTTTATAGAATTTAGTAAGTCATAAGTTACCTTTCGCCTGAGAGTATGCCTTTTTGAACAAGCTATCACTGTCCATCTGTCTGCACGGTAATATGCTTCTGGGAACCTGTCGTTTTCTTAGACATGTGTTCCGTCGAATCTTGTTTCTTACTATGTGGACCTCTTGGTATGCTTTTTCGTCAAGGAGTACTATCGCGTTTGCTCCTTTTACGGATAATGAAGCAGTCGATTTCACAACGATGGCGAGCCCAGCTTGTGCTAGTCATCGTGAGCTATCTTTTTTCGTTCTCGGTTTTTTTCTAGCGAAACTATGGCAGCTGAATGATATGTTCATTCTAGTGATGGGGAAGTGGACTGCTGGACAGTTGGTCGACCGTACAGACTGCCAGTTGTCACGTCTATAGATCCTTAGGAGGTACCTGGCTGATAGGCTGTTTCCTCACGCCCTGTTTGACCTATGAATTGATTAGAACCCCTGTAAAACAGTATCCTATCAAAGGTTGGGATAGTCTTATTTTGCTCATCTTAGCAGTTCGCCGAACGTTTGCCTTACTGCGCCTCTAACTGTCCAGTGCCCTCTTGATATCATTCTAGTTAACAATTTCGATTGTCAAACTGTCAGTTGATAAGGGGAGTGTAAGGTGCCGCACAAACTCAGTTCAGTTTCTTCTCACTTTTCCCAGAAGGGCCATGCAACCGAAAAGTTTCGTTAAGCAGAGGACCGAGGGTTCTCGTCCTGTGATCCCTTCTGCTGCCTCTGCGGACACCGAGAACAAAAACTTGGGTGGTTCTACAACCTTGCGTGGACTGTTGAGCTATTACAGAAATAAGGTGGAGGCCCTGACCATGGACAATGAGGCATTCCAACGTCGTCTTGAACAGATCGCTGATGTTGTCGGTGATCAGCACACCTTACAAGGCAAATTACGGGAGAGCGAGAAACTGGTTGGGGAGTTGAAACAGAATCTCTCAGAAATGCAGGTCTGTTCTCGACTAGGGCTTAGTACTCATCTTCCTTTTCTGCTATCTTGACAATTATAACCCCTTGAATGCGCAATATTCTGAAAAGCAGCGAGGCACTGCGACCCCACCATAGCCTCACACCACAAATTTAATTGCAAGCAAACAGTCGCAGCATTTTAGCACATTGTCTCATTTTTATTCTCTCTCTTTCCGGTTGATCTCCACACCACGGACGCCGACCCCTTCTATCGACTGTTAGTGAGTAGCGTGCAAACGGCTTTACAATAGCGCCCATGCGTATTGAGCCAGCGGCCAGGGCCGAATTCAGTTTAACCAATCTTATGCAATTTTTCCATGTTTCAAACCCCAGCTGTTTATTCATGCTTGCAGTGGGTTGTTCCACGCGTCGGATTTCTGGCAGTCGGCTGTATAGACATCCAGTTCGGAGATAGTTTTTGCGCCATTCATAGTCGTCGCGACACGCCCCTTCAGCTCTCCTGCTTAACGACGGTACTCGCTGTCTGGAGCGTTGGCTTCCCTAGAGATTTGCAAAGAGCAAGACGGAGTCAGTGTTTTTCTTCGCCCGTAGGGAACAACCTCAGTGGTCTTGGGTAAGGCTGACTGTACGGTTGCTCCGCACAATGATGCACCGCATGTGGAACGCCTGCAGCAGTTGTGGAAGGCTTTCATTTGCGCCTTAGGTCCTCGGTTAAAGAGGACCAGGATTGGCAATCCCGTCAGCGATGAACTGACTCTTCAGACTGTTGCCCGTTGAGCCTCACTCCAAATCGCGAGATTTTTTATAGTTTGTTGAAGGCACTGCTGAAAAAGTTAACTCGGCGCAGCACTTCATGGCCGTTTAAGGGGAGGGAGAATGCTAGTTGCTCAAGATTGTTAACGTCTTCCAGCTTGAGCTCATGTTTTTCTGATTCATATTTATGACCAGGTTAACTTTCATGGCAGTCTTTACCTTCCGCTCGTTTGGTTGTACTGAAGAGTTCTAGCAGTGTTCATTTGAGCAAATATGGGGAATACGCTTTTAAGTGGTCAAGGTCCCCGATTTCCAACTAGCGTCTGACATTTGCCGAATGACGTAGTTGGAGAGCGCCCTCTACCATTGTACATTCCCGATCGCAACCGACAGGACAACGAGCCCGTGGCTCAGTGGTTAGAGACGTTAAACTTCTAACCAACAGGTCGCGGGGTCGAGCCCCAGGTTTTCCACAATTCGAGGTTGAGTATGGCTGACTGACGACGGCCAATAAGCCAGAAATGGCCATTCCAGTCTCCCTTGTCTTTGTCGGTAATGATATACTGCCCATATCATGCGCCGTTGTGTGGCTGCTGGTTGGGCTCTAGAGGGAGAGAGAGCCCTAAAACACAACGGGACGAGTGAGTCTCGTAGCGCTATCGGTGAGCGCCATCTACCATTGTTATCATCCTTTTTCACCAGCGTAGCTGTTTTGTCTGCAACCACACGAGGTTCGGCAAACTACCCTACACGGTCCTTACGCAGGACTAGGTGTTTCAATCTCATCCGTTGGGTGGATACTTCCTGTGCGCATGTACGTTTCATCGTCCCTTTTGCAGGCTCCAGCGTTCCTAGGATAGTTTTCTGACAAAGCCGATGAAATTGGTGTCGCAGTGGTATACATTCACTTTGTTTTTGTTATTCTTTCTCCCTCACTTTTCCTCTTCCCTCCTCCCATGTATTCTCTGTCATTCGGACTTTCGCCTTCATTCCGTCATTCTGTTTACATTATTCTTGAAAGTACTTAAGCGCACAGATATGTCAGTGTTTCCGAATAATACACCACATGGGCCTGAAACAGGGGCAGGCGATATTTTACTGACTGGTATCAAAGAAACACTTTTCATATGTTATCCTGATTCACGTGGCTACATCGATAGCATGTACCTTGTCGAAGAGGGATGCTGGATATTGAATTACCTTTCTTGCTAACAATCTGCACTCCGCTATTCAGGTGTGTCTGTACCAGGAGAGAGACCATGTACTCCGTCTGTATGCAGAAAACGACAGACTTAAGCTACGCGAATTGGATGACAGGCGGAAGATTCAGCATCTCCTTCAGCTCTCGGGCCTTGGACCCGCTGAAGTCACGTACTTTCTTTCTGAAACGACCCTCCCGTCTTTGAATCCGTCAACCACCGCAGAGAAGACTAGAGATCAGGCACAACCTTCAGCGCTTATTATTAACCCCGTAGTTCCAGCGGAAGGGACTGTTGAATACATCACAAATGGAAGCGTTCGGAAAACTGGTGGGCACGTCAGGGACCGCGGTAAGTTCCACCAGTAAAGTAATTAAACCAATCAACCTACTAACGCAGTGTTTGAGTAGAAAGACTTAAGTACGGCGTAATTGGGGTACGCTTGGAATCCAACCTTCGATATTCACATTTGGAGAAATTGCATCGTTTTCTCCCACAAGAGACTACGATTTCTATGGCGAATAACAAATTCTTGTCCACTGAGGGACTAGATTATCTTCGATGGAAAAAGAGGGTTCTTTTGCATGTGTTTTCGCCAGCCAGCCTTTATGACGACCGTTGTGCTTCTTATGTTATCACCCGGAAACTTTTGCCTCTGCCTACCTGCATGGGATGTGGGACAAGTTTACCTTTTATTCACATTGCACTCGATGTACCATCGAAGTGAGTACCATTCTGCCATTGCCAGGGAGAACTTGCCAACAACGATAAGCAGACTAAAGTGACCACTTCAGACTTGCTTACCTTCGTCAGCCGCCTGCCACGGACTCCATGGAGTATGATCGTGAATCGGGCGGTACATCCGCTGAATTTCAAATATACTGATTCGGAGTTCAAATATTAGGCGATCCCTGTTTAGGGCGCAGGTAAGACTGACTGACGAGTGTTAGGAAGTAGTGGCCATGACAGTCGTCCTTCCTCAATCGATAAACCACGGAGTGTTAACTACTTTTCGCTTTATCATCGCCCGTGAGGCCCCCTCATCTGGGCTTCGTAGGCACAACCGAGGGCATATCTTCCCATTGCACAACCGAACTCGAACGCTGAGAATACTCTCGGTCTCCACCAACAGCGCGTGGGCCGGTGCTGAGCACCGAGTGTCAAAGCCATTGACATGAGCTCAGTTGCCATGTCTGCCCGCCTTTTGGTTTAGATATGCTTGACTGCTTTGGAGTCTGCAGACACTCTTCCAACTGAAGCTGTCGATTTGAACCGAAGTCAACCTTTCATATGTGAAAGTTATTGCTTAAGGAAACTGACAGTACTGGTTTACAACTCCTTCGAATCCATCCTTTATTATGTTGAAGGACCAGTGCTATCTAGCAGGCAAGTTAATTTGTGCGGAGGGGGGGGGAGTAGGAGGTCGCGGTAAGAGCAGAAATCTCCCTAACCAAATATAGCTTTCGGCGATGGTAGTTGGCACTTACAAATTACCGGTTGAATTCGGCGGGACTGCAGCCCGCCATTTGGAAAAAGATCCACCTCAAACAGGTTTCTCATAAATTTATTGAGCAGATCTAGTCAAAGAATTCCACAATGTCTCCGAGACAGCTGCCGGTAGTCAAGGAGCATAATTGCTCCCCTGCGCCAAGTTCCAGGGGGATTAGAGTTACGGTTGGCGACGAAGATAGAATATGCAAGTCCACTGGGAAAATGGAGCACCGGGACTCGCGTACTACGGGAGGGCTATTAATATTAGTTTTGTGGAGGTTATGTGGTGAGGATATGTGCAGTCTGAGCGCTACCATTATCAAGGCAAATCCTAGTGTTGGAAAGAAAAGACGGAAGGCACCAGCCTGAGGGATTTATTGTGCACAGAACCCGTAGTTCTCCTCTCAGGCGACATTGGCCACTGGCGAAGCCAGGGCTGGTGTTGACTGTGTCCAGTCATGCCCGAGTCCCTGAGATAGTGGTAACAGCCGCTTTTGTAGGCTCGTGGACCAAGCTCAAGTGATGTCCAGTCAGTGTGTGTTGCAGTTGCCGAGGGGTGGTGACCCAGTGGCTTTTTTTGCTGGTTGCAGGGGGTGGCGCATGGATAGCCGCGACGCTGTGTGGACGCAATTGTGTCCGAGCTGAAGTCTGTCGAGTGGCGTCAGGTCAGCTCGTCTGGGACGGCTCGCTGCAAGGGGTGAATGACCTTGAGACAGCGAGGTCTTGAACAATGACACCAGACCGGTCATTTTGGCTGCCCGCTACAGTTTTACCAAGAGAGCTGATTGGCATGGCAGTTAGCGGAATCTGCGGAAGGCATTGAGAAAACCCGCGTTTCTGCCATATTTTTTATTACTTCAGTGAGGTGCCGCGACAGAGCACTAAGCTTGTAAATGGGCGGAAAATGGATAATCCAAGGTTGTTGGTTAAAGAAGGCCGGATTGGGTACGACGGCATGCGGGGCGAGGAAAAGGGAGAGAGAGGGAGCCCAAAGCAGTTCCATTAGTTCCCTCCCACCAGTCGGTGGTGGATTAAGCATCTGTTCATCCTTTAATGAGCGCCAGCCGACATGATTAGCCTGTCAAAGGGGTTGACTGGTCGCTGAGGTTAGTTTGGAGCTTGACTGACTGAAAAGGCCAGAAATAGGCGGAAACAGTTATCCTCACGATGTCTCCCGTTTTTATCTATCTACCAGATATCTCAGGAGTATTGCTTCATGTTGTGTCATGCTTTGCACGTCCCACTGTAGGTGACGCAACGGAACCGAACTCAAGTCACAAGAGTGATGCTGAAAGAAGCGTACCGAGGTTGGAGCACCTGGCCATCCAGCGGGAATTGGAGTTTGCCCGAGGTGCAATCAAGGCTTTACAACGGCAGTTGGAGGAGCAAACCAAGAACTCACGCGATGAGATAGAATCACTGATTGAGAATCAGCAGAGTTTATTTCTGGCGAGTCAAGCCCAGCTTGCCAAGTTTAAGGAAAAGGAAATCACCACGGAGAACAGGTAAGTGTGTGAATGCAGAAGTTACTGTTGATAACCAACAACTCGAGCACTTCAAGACGTGCCATTTAGTGTCGATTTCACTTGTCAGTTGAATCCTACCTGTCCGTTTGTGTCCGAAAGTAAACGACTAAATATTTATTTCCTTAATGTATGACATCTATGAGATCAGTCCTCGCAGTCCGTACTTTTCCACCGTGTGCGGAAAACGATGAAAAACGACCTTGTGTCACGTCAGCCATTGCGGTCCACCTCATTTGCAGTTGCTCGACTTCTACAGATCACTGTGGCATAAGCGAGGTGAGAGAGAAAGAGAGAAATGCTAGGGCTACCTGGTTCAATTACTGTCGCACAGTCTGCTTCGAGATGGCATCTGTCGTCAGGAGAGGAACGCTGAATGGGACACCGGGAAACCCAATGCCAATCGACGAGACCATATTTGCAGGACCGTCTTTGGCGGAGGTGCACCTGCCAAAGAAAACGATGGCGATCCAGCACAGAATTATCGGAACAACGGCTCATGCACTGATGCTCCATGGGTCATTAGATTGTGTCAAGGTACCGATTTAAGGTACTTCAACATACATAAGCGAAATGCAGCGACATTGACCCCTATTATTGAACGTGAAATAGAAGCAGGTTCAACAATTCGTTTTGACAAACGGCCAGCTTATTGGCGATTTAATCAGACTGGGTACGATCACCAAACCGTCAATCACCAGGAAAATTACGTTGATCTGAATACGGATGAACACACCCAGCAAATCGAGTGGACCTTATTAAACAGTAAAATAGAGATTTTGGAGAATAATCGCGGAGTTCCATAGCATTTACTTCAGGGGCACTTGTACGAACACTGCTAACGTGTTTTGAAGGGGGAAGAAGACCACTTCGAAGTAGTCCTACACGATATCAAAGAAGTATTTTTCGATCTTTGTTATAATATCTGTACTTACGCTGACCGAGATATACGGGTCCTCTGCCCCCTCACGAAGTGCGACTTTTGCTGCCTACGATTCAGTCGGATACGAGGCGGACCACCGACCTACCTGAAGACTATTTTTTGCGATTAGGTTTTCTATGGGTGCGTGGTAGTAGTAAGAACATCAGCGTCTCCTTCACGAAGTTCCACCTTTTGCCGGACCTTCTGCAAAGGATGCCCAGTGATAGTGTCCCCTTTCCTCATCTCGGACGGAATTTGCTGTGCGCCGATGACGTTGAGGTTGGCACACACATGGATAAGTAAACGCCTGCGGTCGTTTCCAGTCTACGGGAATGCTGAACAGGTACCAAGTCCCATATCAAACACACATATGCAGAGGCCATAGGAGAAAGTGGTGGAAACGTATCAAGACTGTTCTAATGACGATAATCGTGTAAATGCGTAATAAGGGTGCAATATTAAAGAAGGTGTGTTACATGTACAGTGGTTCTATCTGGAGTGAAGGGCGTTCAGTTGTGTCTGTTAGATCACCGGTGGAGAGCGCAGCATTAAGGACAACTGCAGTAGTGTATGTGGGAGTGCTAAAATTGAGTGTGAGAGAGCGAAACGATCTACAAAGGCGATAGTTGTAGGGGTGGGGGACGTGGGTCAGCGATTAAGAGTGGAAGGGACACCGAAATTTTCACCGACACTCGATTATACTGTCCCTATACTGGGCCCGCTCCGAAGTAAAGTTCCTCTTCAGTCAAGCAACTCATTCAACTTTATGGTGCGTTACAGGCTCTAACGACGACAACGGGCTTCGGTTGTCGTGCTTCCACCTCGCCGTAAGGGAGTTCTGCTTCTAGAAGAGTGTCATTCCCCAGGCCTGTCCTAGTCAAATCTTTAATCATGCGCCAAGTTTGCTGTTGACATACATGAGTCTTTCTGCAGTTAATTTGGATGCCGGATTGAGGCAGAATACCCAAAGCCTGCTCTAACCGTAGTGGTGTTTTTGTTGTAAAGAAATGTGCGATCATAACGAAATTTCATCGTTTCCAGTCTGCGATTAAAACTAGTATTAAACTTTAACATCTTTCTTACAATATCAGCGTACTTGCGAAACCATGAATTACGGTCATCGGTTACGTCCAGAAATCAGGCGATAGGATTAAAGGACAACGCCTGACCATAGATGATAGTTGCTATCGGGCTTCATGGGTACTCAAGGAGAGGAAACTTGTTTAGCATTTTGGTTTTGAGAGACTGAGGTTTCCTTTTTTTCTCCACTCCCTAACCGTTGACAATCTTTCTCACCTGCTTTCTTTTTTAACTCCTCCTATTTTATACCCAGATTGTCATCTTGTCAGCGCGGAAATCCTCAGAGGCGTCGTTTTCTTCAATGCTTGTTACATTGTATTGACTAGAAATATCTGAAAATAAGTTTGACCAGTGAGTTCTATCAACAGACAGACTTCTCAGACTGAAGTGCAAATTCTTCCTAGCCTGGAATTCGGTGACATTTGGCAGGAGGCTGAAAATAAGCTACCGGTTTTTCTTTTACTGTAAAAGATTTTCTCAGTAAGCCCTCTGTCTCCAAGTTTTCTCGTCCACTGCTGCCCGATCGCCTCTGTACTTTCCAGACTGAAATTTAAAAACAGCAGAACTGCGGTTGAAGGACCTTCATCGATCAAGTTACGTTACGTGCTTGTCCCCTAGTTCCTTTTGGCTCAATCTGGAACCCTATCAGCTCTATCAGTAATGTATCCAGAGAAAGAGGTTGCGGACAAAGAGAACTGAAGCCGGTATGGCTATTTTTGATGTCTTCAATCAGCCATACTCAACATTAGGTCGGAATGATCTGGGATTAGAATCCGAGTCCTTTAGCCACTAAGCGTTAATATTCCAGATCACAGCTGACAAGACAATGAGCCCGTAGTCCAACGGTGCAGTGCTGAACTACCTAACGTTTAAATATCACAGAACCCGGATCATGGGGCTGGGTATGGCCGACGACAACAAATTAGCTAGAAGTGGCCATCTCAGTACCCCTTATCTCTGTCAGTGCTCCCCTCTGCAACACAGAACGCCCATACTGTCTCCTGTAACTAAGCTAGACTGATAGATGCTACTCATATGATATGCTGAACGTGTCGGATCGTAACCGATAAACCGAAAACTATTGGTTCAATTGCCGAACATTCAACTTGGGATTTTAATTTTCGGCTTTTACAGACCTAGACTTGAAGCAGAGCCATCCCATCTCTGTTTCCGTTAGGGAGCCTACCTTTAAATCTTTTTAATTTCCTTTTTTAGTGCGCTTGCAGTTTTGTCTGCGCCTATTCCCCGTTTTGCCACTTTTTCCTCATCGACAGGTTAAAACGATGCCAAGAAATGCTCTGTAGTAGCACCAAAGATTTCCTCCAACAACGACAGAAATTTCGCCAGGCAGAAAAGGAGTGGATTCTGGAGAGGGACCTGCTAGTGAGGAAACAGGCGGGAATACCCTGTGCCAAGGGTGAGTCCTGGTAGTGGTGGCCTCACAACATTATAGTCTGAAAGGCTTTCATTTATTTGAAGTCAGAGTGTAGTTTAGCAAACTATATCCTAACGCAGTGTGGGACATCCACTGCGTTCTGACGACAGCAATGGTCCTCAGCTGTTTATCGTGTTGACTTCAACTACAACAAATTGGTGGAATTTGCTTTGAAACTTGCAAAACAGTCGAAAATGTTTAACAATACATCCCACCGTTAAATACTTCCTAAGTAAACTTGCGATGCTGAATAGTTTAGGACGTAATCCTAAGCTAAGATATCAGCTTTTGGTCGAGAATCTTTTCAATCATCCTTACATTCAATCTCAAGAAAGGAACTATCACCAACTTGATGTTAAGGTCTTCCAAAATGCCTTTATAAGGGAATGACAAAACATTCCATCTTTCGCACTTATTTGTGAAAACACACTTTAAGGTTAGTGTTTATGACCACAGAGTGTATTTTAATTCCAAAGTATTCTTTTTTGCTCTTAACTTGTACTTGTTACGGCCGCGATCATGTCTGACCTAGCCGGCCTCGATGATGTCACGAAATTTACTTCCCCACGTGTGATTATCTGCGCGAACAGATCTAAACAGCTCAACCCATTCTCTTCGCCAGCAGCGTAGGCTAAATACCGGAGGTCCGAGAACCACTTATATGTCGTGGCGGACTGTGTCGAGCCAGGTTTTGAGTTGATCCCCTCTTCGATGCCTCCAAGTGGGTAACGGTACCGGGGTCGATGTCTGCAAAAATTAGCTGGTGAGGACGACGGAAAACGTGCTCAAGCCATTTTACTCGTCCTTCTTGGATGGCCTGGGTTATCTTTGTCATGGTCCTCAGACAGTGATGATCACATACCTCAAATCTCCGCTCATATTCCACGCGCACGTTCCGTCATTCACAACCATACAGACGAACTGGTCGGACGGATGCACGATACGCGCGAATCTCCATGGGAATGGAGATGCCGTGTTGTGTTCATAGGCACTTCCTAAGGATTGATCCGGAGGACAACGTCGACCTTACTCTATCCGTTGCCCAGCAAACCTGCCCCGAGACATTTGGAACTTTCTACTTTTTCAAGCTGACATCTATTAATTTTGAAGTGGGCGAGTTGCCAAAAATAGATCGATCATTCGTATCGTGGATAGAGTCGCGCAAAGTCGAGGGCTTACCACTAACTTTCCGGATAATTTGGTGAAGCTTTCGAGTGTCAACAAAGTTTGAAGCCTGCTCCACGGAGTTTACCCAATACCTCAACTGGTTATCCCTTGCCGACTTAGTTGAGATTTTAGGGAGTTGGCGAAGTGAATCATAAGTGTCGGGACCTGGGTCTATCCATCTGGGCGGACAATTGTAGGGGTTTTCAGCTGTTTTTTTTTCGCACATGAAATGTTGGGTGCAGATGAGACGTGAACTTCCGGCCATGCATGACAGTGGACATGGTGAGATTCATAGGCGTTAGTAGTTTCGGCCCTACGCATCGATCTACTATTGTAAACCCATCTGCGGAACCCTGGTCCAAGTAGATTGTAGTAAATCTGACTGGCCGTATGGCGGCTGATGTTTGTGGCGATGCTGGAAGCAGGCGTTGGTGACGAACAGTCGAGTTTAATCAGCGAAATTCAGCATTCTCTGACTGTTGTCGCATTGACGGCCAAGCCTCGAAAAACCAGCAAGGCGACTGCTTGAAGAGTCGCATGGACCGCTGTGGTATGTGGTGAAGTGTGAGTTGACTCCCGGGTTATTTATATCTCGAGCGTCAGAGTCGGAAATTCGAACTTCAGAGAGGCGGCATATATCCACATTGCACGGGTAAAGACTGTGTGCTGTCATAGTTTGAATAGCAGGGAACAGAAACGTTAGTTCATTCCAGCATTCAATCTAAAAAGTTCGTTTGCGGTCGAGTAGTCCAGCCCGTATACTATTCGCTCGCTCCACTGGACCAGGGTTGCTGAGCGCGTCGGTCGCTTCGGACGCTGTGGTATGGGTCGTAATATTGTATTCGGGCATATTTTCATGAGTTTTTTGGTGATTTTGAGTACAGGCGGGTCCCCAACAGCTGCTCGGATTATTTGTTTGAGGTTGTCCCCCCCAGCTCTTTAACGCAATGACCTAACAACAAGGCAGGAATGAAAAACAGACTTACTCTGAATGATCGGAAAGACGCCTCCTTGGTAGCTGTTTTGCCCATGCACTTTCTTCGGAAATAATCACATTTCGCACTACGTCAGAAGTATCGCAGTGCCGTTATCGACCTTGGTGGCATTCAATTAGGTTGTCGGCGTGCCGGGCCCCAACGCTGCATACCTTGGTAGCTGCCGGTCCGGAAATACCTGTTTGCCAGATCCGAGAGTGCTTATTTCGCAGCTAACGTTCGCTGAAGGCCGTTCCATTATCAGCCATCTGTGAACGCGCCAGGTTGACAGCAGCTAGACTAACGGCTTATCCGCCCTCAGGTTTCCATACTTCGAGCCGTTTGCTCTCCCAAAGCAAATTTCCGTCTCCCTATTTCTCCTATAGAGAGGTTTCTTGTTCTCATAAATGCCCGCGATTACTTTGAAGTCGTTTTTATATTTTGGGAGCAGCACTACTATGGAGTCCATAGGCAGCATTAACGTCAGCGTCCTAAAGGTTCCGACTCTTTCGAGAAGGTTTAAAACGCAACTACTTGCGTCCTCCAAGTAGGACGTTTAAAAGAACGCAATTGTGCACCAAGTCAAAAGCATACGATGAAATTTCTTAAGTCTTTCTTTGACTATTAGATGAACTTTTAGAAACATTGGAAAGTAACGGAAAAAAGACACAATATGGGTGATGTGTGTTTCTAAAAGTATAAATTACAAAAGCGGGCGAAAGATGCTGTACTCTGAATACATGAAAGGCAGCTCGAACGAAACTCTCAAACGCTAATGATCCGTGTGCCCCCCTGCGGTCATGTTTTAACTGTTTTTTTTTCTCTGGAAAATCAACGGTTATGTGGCAAAATTTTTCTATGCACAATCTGGAGAGGTTATGTATTCTAATCACTCCCGTATTTCTGCATCGTGCTATACCCGGTCACGATGTCTCATCTCTACAGCAGTTTCTGAATGCCACTTCCCTTGAGAGTTTGTTCGACAAAAAGGAAACTTTCACCAGGCCATCTTGGCGAAGTGGTCTAAACTGGATTACATATACATTTGTTTTGAACCGGTTGTAATCCAATCAAAATCTAGCTTTTTAGGCGAATTTATGGCTTGGCTTAAAAATACGAACTCTGGAAATCAGTAGCAGAGCGTCTTTGCACAGTTCCTCAACCTGCTAGAGCACCAAATTAAAAAGATGACCCTTATATTAAGGTGTTATGATAGAATCTCTCATGTTTTAGGACTTTTATAATCACTTTTACATATCGTCGGCCGTAATTAACGTTTTTACTTCGTGAGTTATTGCAAGTTAAGACTATGAAAAGACTTTCCTGGAAACAGCACACGCCAGCAGCAAATGTAATTTCTGCCGAAGTGTGGAAGAATGTCCTTCATAGTCTGGAACATTTTCAAGCCTTACTTGAAGGCAGATGGCAGTTGTTGTTACCTTTGAAGTGCGTCAGGAAGCTGAGTACTTTATGTCTCTTTTGGAACGCCCGCTTGGTTAACAGAGACGACGACTAGAGTATAGAGAGGGTGTTTGTACCAAGAACGGGAGGGCGACCCAGTGAGCTACAAGTGCATCTTCTTCACAACCCTTTCAGCCAATAAGAGGTTGGCATTGCATACCGGTAAATACGTGAGTAGAGCCTACTAGATGCTGTGGGGGCGGGGAATTAGTTGTTGTTTCTACAATCAAAGTCGCGAGTTCCAGATCGAGCAAATGAGAAGTCATGTGAAATCGCTCAGAGGTGTTTATTTGCGACTTACCGTCTCGGACATTTGGGTATAATGTTTATTATTGAGGAGTGTCTAGTTAAAGGGTCCTCGTGTTGGGCCAATTAGTCGCATCATGCAAGTAGTGACTGCTTCTCACGGTCCTTGACTGTATAAGGAGAGCCCCCAGGAAATTACGGCGCACAAAGAATGTCTACTATACGTGTCTAAGTAGGTCGTGTTTTACCACTCTCGTAAACACGCAAAGCGATCATCAGACTGACTGCGTAGATTGGGTCGTTGTCAGCTCATAGCTTTGAGAAACGACCGTTTCCATCTGACATTGTGTTGTATATAACCTGCCCTGATTTCAGCTCACAGAGTTGTGAAGCGACGTTACTCCTCCACATACAGTAGGTGATCTGACTCATGAAAGGTGTCCAAACTAACGAATGATTGTCAATCACTCGCAAAGCGACACCATTTCATGAATTCAATGTCTGTATAAATTAAGTAAAAGGTTAGAGGAATTAAAAACATAAAAGAAATATTAAAGGCAGTGTTGCGTGTTTTCGGCTTACGTTCAGTTTCAGATCGGCCATGAAATATTGCTGAATACTTCGTGGTTTTCAATGTTTTCACCCGATTGTCCATAAGGACAAGTTCTGAATTACCTGTCTGTTAAAAACTTTAAAATCAGATAATTCTTGAAGGCATTTATCGAATTAGCGAGTTTTTGGGCGCTCTTTTTCGCGAAAATGGTCGTTTGGGTTACACGTGAAGACTCATTCAGACATCAAACTTCATTTTCGAAAAAATGGCTGTCTACAACGAAAGTCAGTAACGAATATACCTTCGATCAATAAGAAGACTTTCCCTAATAAGTTACCTCTTTGGGAAGTGCTTTAATACTGCACTCGGTTGACGGATCTCTGTGTTCCTTGCATTTTTTTCACGGTGAGGCCAAGAAAAAAATTGACACGGCCGTTTCTTTCACGCTCTTAAAAATACCAATATTTTTCTGCCGTAAACGTAAGAACATGCCTTTTTCTATATATTGCAGTCATTTGCCCTGCTTTTGCTCGCTTTTGGACTCCGTTCTTCGATTATGAATGCACGGCAGAGTACCCATACAAATACTGATATTTTGTTGAAACTGTTAATGTTTTGCTCGTTTCTTTTCCGAATTAGGTATGTGCAGAAGCCAGACTACACGACAAGTAATGTTTCATATGTATAAAACTGGAAATGACCATTGGGTGGTGGTCATTTATGTGACATCAGGTAACATTTTCCAAACGGCAAAACAACTCCAGCCCATTTAAACGGAGGGATCCCTGTCTGCGTTATTACTGCGCTTCAGGGCAACAGATCGCACAGATCTGCTAATAGGACTTAAGAATCGATAAAACATCTGGCTTTTTAAAATAACCTTTGTGTTAGCAAGTTTATTACTACGGTTAGCATCGGCCATAAAATAACTTTTCAAGTCCGGCAAAATCTATTTACCAAAACCCTCGCGGGCAGATTACTTTCCTTTCAATTAAAACGCGTTCAGATGCGCAACCAGAGTCTAGGGCACGTATTAGCACAGGAAATTGCACGAATATATTGCAACGTCCATTATTGCTAAATGTGACTAATATTTTGCTTGATATAATTAGGCAAACACAATTTCTGGTCAAGAAAAGGACTTTCCATTCGAAGGCAGTGGATGAACAAGCAAAATGCGCAACGCTAAAGACATTCAGAAGTTTTCGCACCAGTTTCCGTTGTCAGTTTTCATGAGATAGGTCACGTACTGTACCACTGGGCAGGTATCACCTGATTTCCCGTTGCATGGTATAACATGATCTCAGCTGAGACAGTTGAGAAGCGGCCGTTCGGATTTGACCTCGCCCTCTTACCATTGCGAAGCTATCACCTGACTTCCAGTTGCATAACACACCATGATCTCAGCTCAGAGAGTTGAGAAGCGACCGCTTAGATTTGACCTCGCGTTCCATAATATTCTATGATCTCAGATCACAAAGTTGAAAAGCGACCGCTGGGATTTTACTTCGCCTCGATCTCAGCTCATCACGGACCAAGACCTTCACGGTGTCGATTGGGTCCTGTTTTATTAAATACTCTCACAAACACGAGGAACGATCATTAGACTGCCGCGCAACTCACTCGTCACGGAACACGCTTTACACGGTACAGATTGGGTGATTCATTGTAGACTCTTGCGCAAACCATGCCATGATCTCAGCTCAGAGAGTTGAGAAGCAACGTTGCACAGTCTGCCATGAAGTTTGCCTGACTCGTCGATTGACGGTACCGTACCTCATCGATATGCGCCCATATGGCTCTGGCCGATACAGGCTCACCCTCTTGAAGCTTCTTTTTCAATCTGCTCCAGTATGCCTCGATGGCATGCGTGTGGTGGGGTCCCTGAAGTTTTTGGAATGATTGACTGTGAAGTGCTGGTATCCTTCCATCGGGAGGCGATTGTAGGCCTTCCACTCATCAGTAACTGTTATTCTGCTCGCTGCTACCCACTTTGTAATGACAGCTGGCAGGGCTGGCCGGGTCCTATCATTCGCTTGCTCAAATATGGTCTTCCGTCGACTGGCATCATATATTCCTACCAGCCACCACTGCCTTTTACGTCTACCGATGCTGTACTGGCGTCGGTTTATCAACGGTCGTCGAATTGAATCTCAATTCCAGGCATACCGATCTTGTTCGTTTCCTGTATCAGTTTGTTGGAACAGACATTGCGACATAGCGCGCACCATTCCACGGTCGTGCCATGCGCAACTCCTACATCTTTTTCGCGAAGCAGTACTGTGTGGAGGTTGGTCAGCACTTGCAATGTTACTCGACATACTGTGGACGCTCGTGTTGCTAGTGGGTGTGTAGGTAATGGCTCCTCAGTAATGCAGCCTCAATGGCACTCCCACGCGTGTGAGATCTGAGTCTTCCACTACCTTTTCGTGAAATCTGGTGTGCTGTGCTGGGGGTCAGGGCGCGCACAGACAGGCGCCCAATCCCAACACTGGACGGCTGACCGGCTCGAGCAGCGGGGATGGGGAAGGAGAGTGGGGTCGACTCAGCGCATCTCCTCACTAAACAATCCGACGCGCTTTTAAGCCATTACGATATGCTAAATTTCGTGGCTTAGAAGGCGGCCAATTGATGGGATGACTCGATCTTTTCAGAACGGAAAGTCAGAATGCAATAGCTCCTTCTTAGTATTGCCCAGGTCACCGTCTCTGCGTCCACCATGCTGTTTGGCAGACAGTGGACATGATCATCATTCAGAAGACGAAGATGCGATCACTGGAACAAGAAAGTTACTGGCCTGACGTTTCGGATTCTCTTTCGAATCCAGCATCAGAGACATTCGCGACGGTCGGGCTGTAGGGTATGTAGGCGTCACAGAGCTCTGGATGCGCGTTAAAAGTGCGGACATGTTGATAGGAGCTGGGCCTCAACGTTGTTACTTCACGATCTTCCGATTTTGCTTGCTTTTAACTTCCTTTCCACCTGCCTTATTTGACTGCCTGCGGAGATTGCTGTCCCAGCAGGCCAAAGTGCGTTTGAATCTTGAAAGAGTGTTTTCCAGGGCTCTCAGTTGACCTAAAGACAGTTTCGTGAGATCTCTGGATTGTCATTTTGAATTTTAAAATGGTTTTTCAGCTGAAAACTGGGTCATCCTAAGCAACCCTGACGAAAAGTTTCATACTTTTTTTCTTACCCGCCTGAGTTCATATCAACTGGCCATGCTTATCGGTGGCAGTGGTGCTCAGGGTGTAATAGTGGCAGAATGCGGTCTTTGCTTAGCCACTCAAATCGAACATGGCAGCAGTTTGTTGTACCCTGCATTTGCTAGCGCAGGATTAGCCTTCGAGCGTTGTGGTGTGTGTTTTTAGGAAAATACCAGTCGAATAACGCACCGGGCTAGGCTAATTGTCAGCAGTTGAACCTAGGCCGCCCCGGGCCAGCTGAACAGTAATTTCTGTGACTCCTGCAAGTTGCTTTGATGGTTGCTCCGAGCTAAGCAATGAGGAGCATTAAGTGTGCTTAAGGCCTTCTTGAGTTGAGGACTTTTGTTTGTAACGGTGAGCGTGACATTTCATACACTCATTGCAGATACAGGTTTCAGTAGGGTTGGAGCGCGCCTAGGGCGATGCACTTTTGTGTGAAAAGCCTCTCATTCAGCGTCTAGTGCAGCTGCAGATTGGTGGTTTAGATAAAAGCGCTTATGATGCTATAGACTGCGTTTTTGATCTCATTTTAAGGCTATTTTTTCAACATCTGCAGATGTACGACATGGCTGATTGGAATTTGCATTACACCCGTTGATTTGACCCACTGTATCCGTCTCGTTGACCCCAAATACTTGGACTCGGTCGATTGTTTTACCACAGTTCTTGCTGCTTCGATTTTTTTATCACGCATGTTCCATTTTAATCCGCTCATTAGCTGTCTGCTAATAGTGATTTGATGGACAGGATCCACTTCATTTATGCCTGTCCCTTTTGCTTTCGTGCCATTCGCTCTGGGCCGTGACCCCTGAAATTTACTTAGTTGTAAAGATCGGAGGGTATCGTACAGGTTATGACTTCTAGTTTTAGGCTGGGCACGTAGAGCAGTATCCAGATCGCAGGGAAGCAGTTTGCTCGCTTTTCGTGCCACAGTTCTCTAGTGTGCAGCAGCGATCCTACGCCAACTTACGAGTCGCATTAATCCAAGCTTGGCTGTCGAGCCGGTTCAGTCGCTGGAATTGACAGTATTTTGGGGGTGTGGACGGTATTTCTGACCAGGACCCCCCACCTGCCAGCACTGCGACTGTTAATTCGGGACAATTTATCTTAGATTGCTGAGCCTCACAGTTGGCCGTCGTCCGTACATTACGGATCTCCATTGTGTTAATGATCTCGCGGTGATTGCCAGCTTCTTCGCGGACATGTAGTTTGCTGTGCAGCGAGATGGGTAATAAGACATCTGAAGTGGCCCTGAGTAGTGTTGCGCGGTTTGTGCTCTGCCTTGCTACGGTAGAAAGTGTTGGGCTTCTGTAAAGAAGAAGCTCTTCCACGGTTATGTTTTACCAAACGAACGATCATGATTATCACTCAGAGGAAACTCGACGGATACACACAGATATCCAAGGTGAACCCTGGGGAGGATGGCTTAATCATTTGCGGTTTAACACTCGCACTCGAGCATTCGCACATCGGAGATAAACAGGATGCGAAATACATAGTTTAAATAAGTCTTACTCCTGATAGGTTCATCACGCTCCTTTTCATTGGTCCTTCCCTCGTGCGTAAGTGATACCTGATGGCTTCGTGTGGCGCTGGTAGATCGATCTCACGGTTGATCGAGTTAGCGCTAGATTGGCAGGATTCGATCACCTCTCTCGCCAGTTTGATTTCGACACGACCGAGTACTTTGGCACTGTCAAAGGCAGACCGGTAATTATTCTCCAGGCTGCGTATAACGGCATGTGATCTTATATACTTTCGCCTTACGGCTAGAACATGTTCATGCATGCGCACTCGCAGCTGTTTGTCGGTAATTCCGCAGTAGCCGGTCAAACAGTCTAGGCAGTTGACGCGGTGATCAACTCCTGATGTGTCTTCATGCGGTAGTCAAGCCTTGAGCTGCACGGGTAAGCGGTGAAGAGTAACCTCCGACCGGTATCCAAGGCCCACGTTGGGTGGTCTTAGCATGTGCCTAGTGGCTTCGGAGACGCCCCCCCACACAGGGCAACGACGGAAGATTTCGGGTTTTTGTTTTTGCTTACCGTAGGTCTTGGTGGGCTTTTGGCACGAGCATTTGTTTATGAAGTCGCGCGGATATCCAATGGAGAGGAAGACTTATCATAGAGGCTTACGATCCCTTAGTTCCTTGACGGTGCGCTTAAGAGCCACCACTGAGAGTATTCGAACATCTGGCCGGAGGTCACTCAAAGAAGGAACCTGCAGAGTTAATCCTGCAGTATAACAACGCGCCAGTCCAAATATATCTAAAACAGCCTCGCCCATCATTGCTTCTAGAAGTCATTTGGTACAGTCATCGCCTAATCTGTTGCTAAAGTCAAGGAAAATATGCCTGGTTGTGCGTTTAATGCCAACTAAAGATCCGTTTTCGTTTACCCAGGGACGACCAAATGTGCTAGAGGAGTCGGTTTTTGGCACTTTTTGATCGTTAGGTTCATCGGCCAAAGATTGTATTGAAGTTGAGGGGATCTTGTTAATTTTCTCGTGAAGAATTTGAAAAAAAGAAAGCTATTTTTGCGACTAAAAATTTGAAGGTTTCCTACTTTATTACCAAAGCCAGTTTTCTTACTAACTCCCCCCCGTACAGAAGGCCCCGTTTGTTACGTCCGTACACGATTGAGGGATCTTCGTTTGTCTGTGAAACATTGCACGACTTTAACGGAGAGTTCAATTTACAGTTGGTGACCCATTTCATGAAACATGCCCAAATTAACTAGAAATCACTAAACAATCTGAAAACAGTCCGAAGACATTGACCAACCTAATAGTAAACGACCTCCAGTTTGATGAAAACGAAAAAATAAGCATTGCAAGCACTATTTCATTGACTAAATCATTTGATTAATGATCTTGGCTCGCGAAATCGATGTGATTGTTCCGTTGTATTGTTAGAGATATAGTTGATTAAAGCACAGAAGATTTCCCAAGATTTCACTGATATATACGTAACAAGAATAAAGATCTTTATTAGGTTTCATGTTGACGGACTGGCCTGTAACTAAAAATATGTGTAGGGTTGGTAGATACGATCGTAGGCATACCGTTTCTTTCTGTAAAATTAACACCATTTTTGGAGACGACGGAATTCATTGGGTTTCAGTGCTCCTGAAATGCCAGTTAATTCTTTGGGGTTTTCAGTGTTCTCAATCAACCGCCTAAAATGATGGATTCTGTGATGTGTTTATAGAAACCTTCAGAATAAGATATTTCCTGGAGGAATTTATCGAAGTAGTGCGTTGTTGGGCTTTTCCCTTTATGAACACGGCTGTTTGAGTCAAGTTCTAGGACTCACGCACACAATAGACGTCATTGTCGGAAAAATTAGCGTCCGCAACGAAAGTCAGCGGCGGATATACTGCTGGACAGTGAAAAAACCTATAATCGTTTGCCTATTTGAAAAGCGCTGTAATACGGTATTTCGCGGACAGATGTCTGTTCACTTTACCTTTTTTCCAAGGTAAGTTCAAGAGAAACTTTTGATGGGCTCTTCACTTCCCCGAAAAATACTGATTATTTTCTGCCACAGGCGAGCGAACTTACTTTCCTTTATACTGGAGTTATTTTCGGAATCACTGCGTACTTTTAGGTCCCGTTATACGATTTTGAATGCACTGAAGAGTGGCCATATAGATAGTCACATATTGCTCATACAGTTAAGGCTCTGCCTGTTCTGTTTCTGCATTCTGTATTATTAAGAACTGAAGCACAGAAAATGTCCTACCATAAGTTATTAGCATAAAATGACCACCTGCTGATTGGCCCTTTCACGGTTACTTATGGTGTATTCGCAAACGACAGAAAAATATCGGTGCCTTTGAACAAACGGTTGCCTGTAGGAGTTATTACTGCATTTTAGGGCATCATTCCACATGGATTTACAAATCTGATTTCAAAATCGATAAAAGTCTGATTCTCCAAAAATAACCTGTCTAATCACATTCTGCTACACCTGACGTAAGCATAACAAAGGACAAATTTTCAAGTGCCGCAAACTCTCTTCGTTAAAACCCTCGTGGTTAAATTACTTTCCTCTTAAGGAAAAACGCTCGCGGATGTTCTGTTAACATCGGTAATTACCCGAATATAAGGTGACGTAGATTTCCGCTCAAACTTGGAAACACTATGGCTGGTATACTTAGACATGTATTCTGCACAAAACGGGCATTTTCCTGGAGGGCTTGACTAACATGCAAGATGCACAATATTTTGGGTACGAGGCAACGAGTATTCCAGTTTCCATCATCAAGTTTCTTGAATTAGGTCGCATTCTGTAAATGTGTTGTGGTTTGCAGTGGATCAGCTTCCCAATGCCCCTTTACACAGGGTGAAGAACGTAACCTTGAACACTGCGATCTCCGTAAGTCACTAAGAGGGAACTGATTTCGGAAAAATGTATTGGGGTATTTCTTTTTTTAAAAAAAGCGAAATCGCCCACTCCTTTTAAAGTATTTGCTTGCCACTTCGATTAGACTGATTTTAATCGAATGCATGCAAGTCTGCGCGTTGGTTGTGCATTCAGCCTCAGTCAGCACACCTCTGTCGACCCAAACGTCGTCCTTTTTTGCGTTTCAGCCAGACGTAGTGAGGTGCAGTCCGCCGGTGATTACCGAAAGTTGGGCAGTGGCAAGCCCGCCCGCGAATGGACCGCCGTCGGTCATCTGAGCGGTCCGGATCAGGTAGATGGGTGCGACTGCGAACACCAGAAACTCATCACCAACTTAGAGTTTCAACTGAGCCAGCAGCAGAACCTTGCTGACATGTATCGAGAACAGGTGATCAGACACCAGCTTTCCTTTTGTTCTCTTTTTGCAATATATATATGTAGATCAGAGGTTTTATGCATTCCGAGTCGATATAATGAAAACAGGAAGAGGTTCTTCGGAAAAATCGAGTTGTACTCGTGAATTTTCGAGCTGGTGACACCAACCCGTCATCAGACGAAATGAAAACAGGGGAGAAAGTTTGTTTGTCACACTGGACTAGTTAGCGCGACAGGACAGACAGATTATCGGCCTATGAGAGGGATGATCACAAAGTCATGGTAGGTCTCTGAGCGAGGGGGGAGGTAGAACAATTATGGATGCCTGTGCTGGAGGGTGAGGGTGTAATGGTGGATCAATTGGACTCCGGGTGGCTAGATTGGCGGCCGTTGCTGTGGCATTAGGGCGGGGGGCAGTAAGTCGTGAGCGTAGGCCCTCGTAATGGGCGCCCAGGTCAACATGGCGGTTGATACTACCAGCATCGGAGTACCAAGCCTCGAGAAATTCTCTCGCCCGTTTTGTGTTTGCCATGGCGACGACCTCAGTGCCATCCCAATTGAATCGGTGGTCGCACTCGAGTGCGTGAGCAAAGACGAGGGACAGAGGGTCTCGCCGACGGACAGCCAGTTTGTGTTCATTAATACGGGTTCAGTAACTACCCGGTGTTTCTCCTGCTGCGGCTGCTAACATGGTTATAATTTGCTTTCTTTTTCATTGCCCGCTGACAGTGATCGAACTATGCCGAACTTGACTCACTACATGGGGTCACTTGGAAAGCACATCCCAAAATCCTAAGGGCATTTCTGCTCTTTGAACCGCTCTGTTATCTTACTAAAACTGTCATTTACCCTGGAGACCCGTGAGTGTTTGGTGAGCGGGGAATCACCGATTAAGACCACTTAACCGGCCCACGTGTTTCTGTAGGGTATCAGCAAAGCCTTTGGGGGAAGGGAGGGTCAAAGCCTACTCGGGATTTTATCCTGTTCTCTGTGCTGCGCTGATTGCCGCCTGCAAATACATGAGAGTGTGATCTTCGATCGGCGCCTACACACTGCTCTTCCCCGGAAATAGGTCACAAGTTCAAGGTCTGTACAATGGGCGTTGCTCTTTCGGTCTGCGATCTGATGGGACGCCAAACACAAGAATAACCGTTGGGAAAGCCTCGATGTTCATTCGCTGTGTGTGAGAGCGCGCTGGACAGTAGGACAAGGGAATAGCACGTTCCACGATATAGGTGATCTTACGTTACATTCCAGGGCGGTTAAGGTTAGGAATTAAGGTCAGGGTTAGGGTTGAGGTTAGGGATTGTGGTTTGGGCTTAGGATTAGGACACGGGAATAGGTACCTTTCCTGGAATTTAACACAAGGCCACCCGTATTACGGAGGGGGAGATTTCCTATTCCAGTGTCTTGCCCACTGGACTAAAAGGATGGCAACCGTTTCCGCTCACTGCTTCCCGTTGATCGCATCAGGTTGCCTGATTTCAGGCCTAATCACTTTCTTCTCCCTAAAACACTAATCACCTGTAATGTACCACTGTCGGTTTCCCATTCAAAGCTCCCTCGCGTTCACTTCCACTTGCAGCAGTTTTGACTCACTGCTATTGTGGCTTCAGTCGTCGTAGGATGTCGCACTGAAGGTTCTAGGCATTACATTTGAATATTTTTCGGTTACCGCTTCTTGCATCCGCAGCGGGAGGCCCGACGAGATTTACATATGTGGCAACTGTAAGGGCTTGGGGTCAACACCAACTGGTTTGATACCTACGGTGTTCACAGAAGGTATAAGAGATGTCGACGTAAACTCTGCTTAGGTCTTAAAACGCCACGAAACTACCGAATCGATCTCGGATTCAGGCCCGATGACAACCAAGCCAAAACAACCAACCCTTTCTCTGTTTTCAACCCCTGAATTCCCTTTAGGTGCTACAAATGGAGGACAAACTTATTCAACTGCGCGAAGAGAACCAAGTATCAAAGGAGGCTTACCAGGAGCACACAGAACGACTGCACAGTCAACTCAGACTGAGCAGACAGCGCTACCGAGATCTGGAACGTCGGCGGCACCTGGAGGTGGAGGGCTACCAGACGGATTTGGATAGTCTGCGCAAGAAACTCAAAGATGTCGAGAAGAAGTTCCTACAGGTTGGTTAATTCTAAGTCTTTTAAGACATAAGGCTATCGCAACAAGACTGCTCTCCATTACGTAATGCATACACGCGTGAATGCCATCGGCCCATAAACTACAAGCATTATTTCGTAGTTTTTTTTGACAAAACTGCTTGCTGCCATCTAAAAATTTGCGCCAAAATCATCAAAAGCAGCATGCGATTCAGAGTTCTTACTCAAAAAGATACAGACAAAATCATAACTACCTCTGATTTGTCTGTCGCCATCGGCCCGGACTGCATGCCAGGTATTTGCACCATGCTCGGTCGATCATCGAGTGACGCCGTCATCCCTGACCCCTCCTTTTGGTTGGACAGGTAACGGGCATTTTCGTTCGTCCTCGGAGTTCACGGGCACGACTGCATGTCGTCCAGCAACTTAAGTGTTACTGTCAGTTCCACAGTCGTGATATACTCCTACCGACCACTCCCATGTGACAGAATTGCCTCTTAAACTGCATTTGTAAATTTAAAAAGGCCTAAACTGTCATCGAAATCGATCCAGAAATAAAAGGCACATCTATCTGGAGGTACCCATTGCCAACAATTATTGTTCTGCAGACCCGAAGGACTCACTTATTTTTATAAGGGTATTTATGTTGGAGAGCTCTGTATAATGAGTAGGGGTACTATAACTTAAGTTTGCTGTTTAGAAGAAAAAAGTCGAGAAAAAGTCTCGCGCTAGCTTCGGGAAATTTCGAAGTGTCAGATCCTGTGCAGTATACAGCAAAAGCCGCACATGCCCAGATGCAAGTCAATTACTTCGCACTGTAAGTAGTAATTGGGGATAAACTATCAACTGGATTCCACTACGCTTATTTTCAAACCCAGCTCGGCTAGGGCATGAACATCTGAGGACTTTGTGACATCACAAATGTTGATTTTCCATATTGTCATTAATTAAAAGGTGACGAGTGAGTTCCGTAAAAAAGAGATCGGTGAGCGTCCCTCCACCATTCGATATTCCCGATCGCAACCGACAGGACAACGAGCCTGTAGCTCAGTGGTTGGAAACTTTGGACTTCTAGCCCACAGTTCGCGGGATCGGACCCCTGGTGTTCCACACATGAGTCGCCTGGCTCATGCAGTGAGGGCAAGGTCGTGCGTGGAACGCGTTAGACGGGCCGTTGACCACTGCATCTGCGTCTACCATTCGATCGTCTTCACAGTCTGTAGTCTAGATGGGTGATGGAGGAGAGAGTGGTAGTGTTTGGCAGTGCAGCAGGTGTAACATATTAAACTAAGAGTCAGACTGACACTTGGTACCTAGGAGGGTCAGATGTGGTTTGGTAGCTCCACCTGAAGAAAACAAACCCCAGTCACCCTCTAATACGGGACCAGTGATAGAGGGTTTTACAGGTGTAGCCGGGACGCGCGCAGGCGACGAGGCCAAGTAGTTGCATGCAAAATAAAAGCTATTGGGAGTGCGTGATTGTACTTTCAATGGTTGAGAATTAGTTGCGCAAACCCCTAACTATAACCCCTTATCGCAAACCCCAACCGCTAACCCCTAACTCTAGCCCCTAACCATAGCCCCTAACCGTAACCCTTAACCCCAATCCCAACATTATTGTGTCCATCAGGTGGGGCTACCAAACCACATCTTACCCACATGAGATATAAGAGCGAGGCTGGTACTATAGAAAGAATGCGGTCTTATGTCCAAGTTTCTCCCTAGGAATATGAAGCAGTAGGTCGCCGCTGCTTACGCCCTCCTCACTTTAATATAATGGGTAACTAAGTGAACGCAGGTATTTATGGTCTCTGTCGGACAAGATGGGGAACTGCTATATAGTTTCGAGACTGCCAAGATCATTATGCACAGTTTCTTTCGTATGCACACGCATAGAAGCCCGGTTTCTGCGGGCACCCAATAGACTTGATTGTAGACGTTATGCTGCCGTAGTGACACGTTAAATCTTCTGAGCCCCGGAAATGTGAAATCTGTCGTATTTATGGTGACCGAACTGAAAAAGACAGCAGTCGACGGTCGTCATTGTAGTGTACCGTCATCAAGAAGACCGAGGAGGTCATTTATTGACGTCGCTGCAACTACGCTAGTTAGCAAACGTCACGGATGCCTGCCTATACCATTTTACCCGGACTCTGAATGATATCTGTCTGACAGTTCTGTAAAGTGACGAAAGTTGCCGTGTTTAGCAAGTTCCATGTAGCCGCATCCGTACGTTAATGCGGTTGACAAACTTTGCATTTGCTAAAGGCAGGTCACAATTGAGTATCAGCCTTCGGGTGAGGTATATGAACCTCTATTTAGATGCACCTAACCGCACTTCGTGCGAGGATATTACGAAGACATCATCAGCCATCCGAGTTAGATTAAGGAGCTCCAGTACGGACTTCTACGCCAGTCCCATGTGCTTCATACTACTATTTTAAGTGGGATAACAATCCTGCATTAGGAAAGACGCCGGTGGAACTCATTGAATCTCCTGCCAACGATTGCCACTTATGGGGAGTCATCGCATGTGAACGCTGTCAAGTTCTACTAGGCCAGTAATTACCTCAGTTGTGTCAAGTGAGACATAATTCGTATTCTGTTCAGGGAGCCGACCCGTATTGCAGGTGGTCTTGCTCCAAATTCCAGGGAAGAGGGGGAGGGCTCGAGGGGTTAGGATGATTTGGGTTATGAGACTTGGCGGTAGGGTTAGGGTTAAAGTTAGGATACGGGAATAGGTATCTGCCCTGGAATTTGGCGCGGGGTCGTCTGTAGCTCGGGTGGGGTCAATGTTTTTGTTTCCTTAATGTTCCCTGCATATTTCTATGCATATTTTCTGCGCTGCAAAGCGCGAACTCTGCGGAAGGTCGCATTTTTTGTAACTTCGACAGTCTCGGACAGAATACATTATTAGGGAGTTGGTTGAAGAACAGCATCTATGTTTTTTCTGCCTTTTGAGAGAGACAGAGCGACTGCGCCTTGTTGGAGTTTTCATCGAAAATTCCCTTAGAGCCGTAGTTTAACACAGGCAAAGATTGGCCTCGTAGATCAAGTAGTTAGAGCGTTGGCTGTACTAAAGCCTTTCCTTTACTGCGTGGGTTCGAATCCCACCGAGTTTTTTACAGTTGGGTCAATACAATTTTCGTACTTGGTAAAATGGACAGTCAGTTTAAAAATTTGCCTTGCTTTAAGGACGCGAAGGCGTAGCCAGTAGGCCGTATCCTTGATAAAGACAAATAGACGAGGAAAGGAAATTTGGGTCCATCTGGCCAATTAACAAACCCCCTTCGCAAAAACTGAAAGAAGTTTCGTAGGTAAATTGAAGGATAAGAAGTGATTGTTGGATAGCAGACTGCGTGCTCTAGTTGTCATACTCACGTTATAACTGACGGTCGAGAGTAGAGAGAGGTTTATCAACTGGGTTCATTTGCTGTAGTTTGTCAGCCGTAACTAATTCCGGAATAAAACACGAGAATAGATATCCCACGTAGTACAGGTGGCCGGGTTAGGATTGGGGTCAGTGTTAGGTTTAGGGTTTGGGCACGGGAATGGGTATCTCCTCTGGAATTTAGCGCAAGTACCAGCCATAGTGAGGGGTACTTATTCCTGCGTCCTACCAAGTCCGACTCTGAAAGAAATGACGTTTCCAAGTTACTCGTTTTCAGAAGAACCTGAGTCCAAAACTGTAAGTTATGCCGGAACAGGT